TCGACTTCCTTCTTTTTTCCCTTAAATCTGATCCCGTTCCCCTCCCCTTCTCCTCCTTGTAATCTCGCTGAAATAACCGAATAATCGAATATCATACCACGTCCTTGGCTCAGTGTCTCGTACTCAACATACTTCACCGACAAGTCTTGACATGTCTTATCACAGTCACAAGTCACAATCACAATCCACCGGCGCCATCATCTTCATCCTGGGCCCTGGCGAATGGATATCCACCTAGTGCGTAGTACGTACACATAAGCCACGTTCCCTCGAGTTTTGACTTTGCCTTTGCCCTCCTCGCATTGCCATGTGAGTTTAAAATACAAAGACTAGCGATTCTTTCCCCCTCTCGAGGCGAGTGGGCCTACCGGGGACACGGGACGGGGAGTGTCAAGGTAAAATGAAGCGAACGGCTCTGGCTGGCTGGCTGGCTGGCTGGCTCGGTCTGATAGCCTCGATTCCATCAACCATTACTCTTGTTGGGCGTGACGTTCTAGAATCTCCATGCTTATTCTGTCCGGTACTCGTACGAGCATTTTCTGTACCTGTCCATTCCTCCATTCCCACACGTTAATAGTACCTCCCTCATCTCTCCTCGTGAATACAGCCCTACGTAGGTCTGCGAATACTTTTTTTCCCGTCAATCCCCCTCCCTCAATTCACTCACCTACCCCATCCATCGATTCTACGAGTACTCGTACCTTGGCCTAAAGTCCCTCCACTCCCCCATTCACATCCACATCGGCGAGAGGGACAGGGGACAGGGACAGGGACAGCGAGGCGTCATGAAGCGACGAGGCGGGTCCTTGGATTCCCTTCTTATCCCAGCTAGCCATAGCCAGGGCCATAGCCATCCATACATCCATCCGCCCGACCCACCGTTAACGACAAACGGGGAAGAGGGAAAAAAGAGCTTGAGTAAAAGTGTGAGTGGGTGTGGGTATGAGGAAGGAAGTTCAAATCCACACCTGCAGTAGCGTCGAGTATGTATGTAGGACGCGAGCAAAGGAAAGCTTATCCTCGTACCTCGCTGCCCTCTGCTTGGCGAGCAAGGCAGGCAGGCACTAGCACTGGCACGGGGCATGTCACTGTCGTAAAGGACTAACGAACTATCGTACTTGGTACAGAACTGCAGGCGTGTCTCTCTCTCTCTCTCTCCGCGGACTCCACCCAGCTGTTTACCCAGTGCCCACTCCTGCCACTCACTACTCAGAGGAGGACACAGCACTCTTCACCCTCCTCGGCCTTTTTCCTCAAAAATGTCGGAAAAATGATCTTGAAAAACCGCCAACCGAAAGAGTGAGTACTGTACCAAACATGTGCTGAGAAAAAAAAAGAAAACAGAAAAGCAAGGAATCCTTCCCTCTTTCTTCCCTCCCTTTGTTCTTACCCTCACCCTTCTTCCCATGAGGCCGCGTTGTCGTACTCGAGCTGAAAAGGATAGACTGAAACTCTCTCTTCCTCTCGTACTTCGTTCAACGGGACGCGCGCACCGTGTATCCCCAACGAATTCGTTCAACAAGGGTACGCGAAAGTTTTGAATTTGTCGTCCGTGTAGTGAGGCGTGCGCGCATTAGCGGTGCGGTGCCGTGGCTTGCGGAGAACAAAGTGAAAAAAAAAAATGCCTACCTACCCAGAGGTACATGGTACCAGTACAGGGTTATTCACAATACGAGCTTTTAAAGTTTGTGCCTGGGGTGAGACAGGTGAAAAGAGGAACGCGGAATACAAAGGTTCGAGGCGTAGGGCGTAGGGCGTAACGTGTAAGGCGACCAGTCCAGTCCCGTCCAGCTCGGAGCGGAGAAAAAGAAGAGCAAAGGCGAGAAAAGGCAAATGACCCCTGACCTGCAGGGTCTGACCTGACCGACTCTGCGATGCGAAAGCCCGTCAAAACTTGGGCAAAGGCAAGGGGTAAAAATCGTTGTTTCTGGACTTTCGAGGCGAGTGATCTGACGATAGTCCCGATCTGTGGTTATAGGCGGGATGTGGAAATGAAAACAGGGCTAGATATTGGTGGTCTTTGTGTCAAAGGGAGAAGCACTCCTAGGCACTACCGAGATCGCCCGACCTAGTTTCGATATTGCCTCCATACCATCTTCTTTTGTACGCATCCCGTCAACGAACAGTATTGACAACTCAAAAATGTCCAGAAGGTCCATCTGATTGTCCACATATAGGCCTCCAGATTGAGAACGAGGCCGGATCGCTGCACACTAGTTCCGACCCTCAACCGTCACGACAGGCCCCGTGTAGACCTTCCTCCCTTGAACCGCATAAAACACTCCCGAAATAATCATGACTCCAAAAAACAGCACGACCGACCAGTTGAAGGACTCGGCGTCCACTGGTGTGCCGTTGGGCCAGAAGCTCCAGAAGAACGCAAACAGAGAATAGACTATACTGAAGACGTTGATCGGCACGCCCAGCTTGCCCAAACTCCACCGTGCCTTGGGTAGCAATTCAGGGTGGTACACGCGGCGGTACAGCACGCATGAAATGGAAATGGTGTAAGAGAACATCAGCGCGCAGACCTGTACAGAGATGATGGCGTTGAATGCAGCGGAAGAGCCAATGTTGATTATCGCAAGCAGACAGCTGATGATACAGGTCAGCGTAACGGCGTTGGCGGGGATGTGCAGCTTCGGGTGGACAGCACCGATCCACTTGGAAAACGGTAGCCCCTTGTCGCGGGCAAAGGCAAAAGTTTGACGCGAGGTGGAAGCGTTGAATGAGATATTGGAAGCGATGACCAAAATCAGGATCAGAATGGTCAGGGCGTTGACACCACCAGTAGACACTGCCTGGCGGAAGATCCAGATGAAGGGATATTCGGTTGGATCGTCGAGGGCGGCGTCCACGTCGGTCAAGGCAAAGTTGTAAGTGACGACGAGCACCAAGCCGAGGACCCCGTTCGAGATGTAAGCCCAAAACATGGCGTTGGGAACATTGCGACCAGCATCCTTGACCTCCTCAGCCATGTGCGCTGTGCAGTCAGAACAAAGTGATCCATAGATGGCCGAAATCTGCCCGATCATAAGAGCAAGGCCCATACTCGACCAACCTCCTTCGTTGGAAAACTGGGTAAATGCGACCTTTGCAGAGTTGCGAGGTGCCATCACCCATAGAACGATGATAACCGCTGCATATTTGTTAGCACCTGACCACACCAATCCTTCTTGAGCCAGTGAGCTTGCCTCACATAGAACTCACCAAAGAATCCAAAGACATGCACGATGAGGAGCACATTCTGTATCAGAGGCAGATCCCGTGCGCCCCACGTGTTGGCGACAAAGAGGACGAGGACCATGGCGAACACCAACAACGTTCCCTGCCATGCTGTTGGATCGTAATCAGGATTGTTGATCTGAATCAAAGCCTGAATAATGGTTCCGGTCAAGAACGAGCCTGACGCTGTCCCAGCCTGCCAACTGAGTGTTGAAAACCAACCGGTTAAATAGCTCAGGCTCTTCTGATATCTCGGCGGAGCGAACTCAGACACCCAATGGTATTGGCCGCCGCTCGTTGGAGCCCTACAATTGTTAGAGGCTGCTCGTACATGCGATGGCGTTGAGCCTACATGGAAGCCATCTCGGCCAGAGATGTCATGACGATACCAAATCCAATAAAGGTCCAGACGTAGGTCCAGAAGAATCCAGCAATGCCACCATCGACCAAAACTTGAGTGTTCGCTCTGGACGAGGATCAGAAGCTGGATAAGAGTGGACAGGTTGGTCATGCCTGACACATTGCAACTCACATCAATAAAAACTCCCATGTCGCTTGTAGTAGGGCGGTAAATGCCAGAGCAGAAATAGGTCGAAAGTTGCGAATCAATTCCTGACGTTTTCCTAGACGTTGCATATCCCTTTGGTCTTTGGTGGTGTAGCCCTTGTCGAGGATACCAACGTCGTTGTAGCAGCCCTCATCTTCGATGCCATCGAAAGAAGCCAGCTCTCGAGCAGTAAGCGATGCGTCCGGGACCTTGTCTAGAGTCATCTTGACAGCTTCAGAACAACAGATACGAAAACCTCAGGCGACAAGAAAGTCAGGTGGAGAGATAGGAAAGCACTGGAATATGATTCGAGTTCGATCAAAAGGGAAGACGAGTTTGCACGTAGTATCACTTTGAAGCTACTCCTTGAAGTTCAGGTTGGTGCCGACCCTGATACTAGTAGCATGCAGACAGGAGGGGGGTATCAGTTGCAGAAGCCATGTTGAGGGGCTTTCGAGGACTGAGGCGAATTGGCGAACCAGGGTTGACAAGACGAGACAGGGATCAGCTCTGCATGGGCAACCTCTCTGGCGTTCTCTGGCGTCTCTGCTAACTTAGAGACCGAATGGTGTGCTAGTTGCCTCCCCATTGGGATGCACAATATTCCCGGTCGACTGACAGGTGTTGACTGTGGGACTCTCAATCGCCCCTTGACGGCCATCTTGCTCACCATGTTGCGTATGCGTGATTAGTGGTTTACAATTCAGCGAACTGGCGGTGGTGGAGATTGAAGGCCTTGCCCCTCTCGTGAGCAGGTCTCTATGGTCTTTCGCCGTCCCATCCTGCCATGGGAATCGAGGGATGCTGGAGAACTTGACCACCTTGGTTGCTTTTGGGACGAACAGACTGAATTTTTTGATGTCAAAGTAAAGAAACCTGGTGTCCCATGGTCACCTGCGTGTCAAACTCAACTAGAAGCAAAAAGGGAATCAAATCCGAACCTGACGGTTGCCTGCAAGCCACAGATCAAAACCCCCTTGGAGGTGGGAGGTGGGTTCTGGATACTTGCACCGAGCAGAGAGAATAGAGATGTTTTGATCCCAAGTGGTGACGTTTGACTTTAACGTCCTGCCAAGACGCTTAACTTTCCTGCGAAAATCCACGATCAGTTTACGAACAATCAACGCAACATTGTATGTATCTGCGCCAGAGGAGTTGAGAAGACCGTTGCCCCACGCTGTTGCTGCCCTTCCTCAACCTTGAGGCCAACCCTCACAATCCTCGCACAATGGCCCAAGGACAAATCAAGAAATCGTCCAAATCCTCCTCCACGAAACTCTCGGCCTCTGGAGGAATCACCAAGAAGGGCTCGCGGACGATAACCCCCAAAAAGGCAAAATTGTTGAAGCAGGCCAAGTTGAACAAGAAATATACCGCGGGGCTCACCGCGAAGACAGAGGCCATGCTCGGTGCACGTGCTGGACATCTGGAAATGCTGGGACAGACGAAGAAGAAGGACGGCGCAACCACAGCCAACGGCAAGGGAAAAGAGGGAAAGAAGAGTGGGAAGAAGGCTTGAGACTTGGTGATACGATCGCGCTGTTCAAACACCATACTTGTGCACGATCACTCTTCCTATGGATCCCGTCGAGGCGAAGACAAACCTTCGGCTGGGGATGTGATTCCGCGAAAGAGACGATACATTCTACGCCGGAATACTGATCCTCACGAGTGGTCAACGATTCCTGCCGAAGAGAAGCCTCCCCCACGACGTCTAGGTCGAACTCTTCGACGATACAGAGGACGTATCCTTTGACAGCACGTAAATCCTGGACTACAGCACTTGGAATAAAGTCGAAAGTCGATACTTCAACAGAGCAATGCAGCAGATGGGATTCGAAAGCTCAAGGACTACAACGCCCATCCTGGTATATGGTCCAACAACCAAAGTAACGCCCGCAAAGCCTATGTCTTACATTCCACCCAGCGCTCGAGCAGCTTCACCTCCACCGCTTTGAACCATGGCCTGCTGGCTCAAGTCGGCTCTGAGTTTGCCTTTGGCAGGTCCACCTTCGCCGACACCCATTCTCCGCGCAACATACCTTTGGGCCAACATACCAATCGCCAGACTCAGCGTTTCTTCAACCCACTCGCTCACCCATTCTCGGGGATCAATACCACCACTTTCAATAATCTCTTCGATGCTCTCAGGCAAAGTGCCTTCCCCGCCACTCGGGGCATCTAGCCACTCGATCCATTGTCCGGGAATGGCTTGAGAGACGACCTGGAATGTGATACCGTGGATGGGATCGTGCAGATAGACAGCAAACACAATCTCGTCAGTGATGTTCTCCTTTGCCTCTTTCACTTGCTCGTCCTTCTCCAAACTCGGTGCTGGGGCGAACAGTTCTTCTGACACCGGTTGTGCAATGGCTTGGATCGCTAGGAAAATCTCGCTGTCTCTGGTCGGATTAGAGGTCGAGAGTGTTTCCGTAGCTCGCTTGGCAGCTTCTTCAACTCCGCCCTTGGTTCCAAAGTACTCTTCAGCGTAGCTCTCAGCGGAGGCCCTGACGAGCTTGGTACCCTCAACAAGGCCTTTAACTGCGTTGATACTTCGAGGTTCTCCGCTCCTCCACCATGGTCCATCATGCCAGGAGCCCAATGGTCGCGACATTTCTCTCGATTCTCTTTTAGGTCCGGCTTCATGTCCTCTTTGAACAACCATCAAGTCTCCACCCTCGACTTGTGCCATGACACGGCTAAAGACTTGGTAGACGAGGGGATCGAGGGTGGGATAGTTTGACAGGTCGTGGGTGATATGGATTTGCAGTCGTTCGTGGGAAGAGATCGGTGGAGCAATAGTCTGCAAGATGTTCTGAAACGTGGGCATGGCTATGCTTCTAAGGTCACCACCTATCGTAGCTGTTAGCCTGCAAAACCTCCAGTTCAACGGTCAACGTCCATACCAAACCCTTTGAGCACACCGACATTTCCTCGGAGTTGCTCTGCCCATTTCTGTGCTTCTTCATTCTTCTGAATTTCTTTCACAGCCGCCTGGGCCTGACTGACGGCAGCAGAAGCAGTCGAGAGCAATCCCCCCCACCACCCACCGCCGCTTTTGGCCGCTGCTGGAGCCGGCTCAGGCTGCGATTCATTTTCTGTGGACTCTTCAGTCGTTGTGGTCGCTGGTGTAAAGCTCTGATGGAACGAACGTGTACTATCACCCGACTTGCGCTGACCGCTGCTCGACTTCTCTTCGCTTGTCCGGCCAGGAGGCGGGGTGGCCGTCGAGGTTCGCTTGGGGGATCTGTTGCCCGTGGCCGAAGACACATTTGGTCGCAGTGATGGAGTGGCAGGTCGGCTAGCTGGTCGTTGGGCCAAGTTTCCCAGTTCAGCGAGCAGGTCTTGTTCGTTCTGTGACGATTGGGCCGGTTGTCCCTGTCGGGCTGTTCTGGCGGAGGGCTTTGGGGCACGCGTCGAGGCCTGCGTGCTCAGATCGTCAAGCTGTGCCAAGAGCTCATCGTCGGTGGGTGCCGCCTTCTTTGCAGCCATGGTCATTGCATGTAGAGATCGAAATGGATGGGTATGGAGGTGGACAATCTGGCGTGTGAAAGACGAGTTGAAGACGCAGGGAGGCGAGGGAACGTGCACGGACGTGACTATGACGGCCATGGAGATCCGCTTTTGGGGAATAAGTGGTGCCGCTCTAAGCCACCTTGGGACAAAAGCACATGGACTCAAAGGCAACGTCCCACACTCCAGTCAAATCAACTTCCTTTCTGGCTCCTTTCTGGCACTCAGTCTAGTTCTTACTGTACTACGCAACGCAACTCAGACCTTCAAACAAACCACACATTTCCCAGTCTGCACCGTCGGCCGAGACTGAAGCGGCAAGTCTACAAATCGAGATCGACCGGGACGAATGTCGACGATGTGAGCGAATGGGTAGTTTCTGCTGTTATTCCTCTTTAATGACCCGCTGAATGCCGTTTGTCTCCTCGTTGAATTAGATTGTTTGTTAACCACGACCTGGAAATGGAACCGAACATTCAGCAAATGCGTTGCTCCGGGCCTACAAAGGTCCACACGATCAGCTGCCTTGGATACACCTGCCTGCCTAATGAGTTGAAGAGATGTAACAGAGCCTGGAAGGAGTGCAACTTCCAAGTGCATCGATATAATACGGATTGAGTAAGGATGACAAGGAGACGACGACAAGGGGTATGTCTGAAATGTACTAGTAAGTATTGTTCTGTGATGCATTTCTTTTCTCTTCATATCTCCCTGCAACAACGCGTGGTTCGAAGCATCCATACTATCTTCACCCCGGCCGCGGCCTTTTCGTGAGAGCATATGACAACTACTAGTATTGTCTCAGATCATTCAACAATACACTACAATTCTTCAATACTAAACCAATTCACTCGAGCACACACACACAGCACTGTAACTAGACAAAGTCAACCCTTCTCCGATCTCGCGGATATAGCTCACAACTCTCATCCCTTTACTCTTCATTGCTGCATACTCCCGACGTGAAGTGCGATCAACGAGAACTTGAGAGTACTCAAAATGCTCCATCACGTTATACGTTCCCCATTCCCTGCTACCTCTCCCATTCTGCTCCTTCTTTTACTCGTCCAAATTTCGAGCGCAACGCTCTTGACCGCTTTCAGTCGACGCGAACCAGATGTCATTCTCCCTCGTGGGATCATGAAAAACGGCACCTGCGACGAAGGCTACGAATGGACCGTCATCACCCCGCTCTCGACTCAAGGCGCCACGTGCTGCCCGGTCGGGTACAAAGGAGAAGAGGCAAAGATCCTGGGGAATCTGGTGGGGACGTTCTGTTGTCCCGAGCATATCGACACGGTGCCATGCGATGCCCACGACCGCGAGATGCCAACGACACCCCTCACCTGTCCGGAGCCGGGCCAGCTAATCGGCGCGCTCTGCATGTATTATTATTGGTAGAGGGAGCCTTCTTCAGAGAAGAGGTCGGACAAACGGACCTGAATGCTGGAATTGCCTTTTGGGAGGAATTAGGGACGACCACTAAGAAGGCAGACAGGGAATGGTTGACGGTTCAGTGGTTTTGGGCCCGGGGAGGGCGCGTTACGTGTCAAGGCAATGATCCAGATAAGAAGTCATACTGGACTGGGCTAGATTCAAGCACTCGCCATAAAGAATACAAATCTGAGCCTGGTGTCAAGTTGTCCTCTGCATTGACTTGGTTAATCTAGAGGCAGAAATCGGTCTCCATCCTGTCTGTAGTGCTCTGCCATCGAATCTTGGTTCGATGCCCATCCAGTCGTCCCGATCTCTGTGAGCGCGGACGAGTCAGTAAGTCGAGACCTCCTGGAGGGGACAGGACCAAAGTCGCAGACAGCCCCCTGACGCCAATTTGCTTCACATGTCCATCTCCCACTAACACTTTGAATCTCGAGTGACAAGTGGCGGGTGACGGTGAACGATGTTCCGACTTCCACTTCACTCCAACCCGAGTCACCCTTGAGATGTCCTCACTCCGGGACGTGTCGTTTGCTTGCAAAAGCGCGAAACAAAACTGACCAGCCGCAACGCTTGAACAGAGCTTGACGACTGATCTCTCGTGAGAAGGCACGTTGAATCATCTTTTCTTTGGAGTGGCTCGAACTTGATTCGGGGTGTAGTGACCATCCTCGTCGCCGGCTCTTGAACTGCCGAGTTGACTCGTTATTGTCCCCTCATTCTTGTACCCAACCAGGTTTCTGGGATTGTCGGAATGTTCATCAAGATGAATCAGACCACAGCCAAAGATGACCCCGGCGCTTTCGCAAGCGAGACGAAGTTGTCCCCCAGCTCGCCCGACGCTGGATCAGAAGGGTCCGCTCGCCATATCGAGACGCAGGATGAATGGCCGTCCAGTCGGGATTTCGCCCAGAGGTATGGTCGGTACGACACACAGGGTTTCTTGGTCGATTTCGAACATACGACCGCATACATGCTACCCAGGAAGGCACCTGTGCCGCCTCGTCCCAGCACACCAATCTCACCGTCCGGTCTCACCAGCACCACTCTTATCGACCAGTCGTCTTCGCAATCGGAGCCACTGATTGCTATACCATACGAGTCTACATCTGAGGCAGACTCCCAACCACACACAAGACCTCAGATCAGGTTCAGCGACACGTACCGGAAGTGGTGGCTGCAACAATACTCCCGGCCGGAGCCACTGGTGCGGCTTGCGTCTAGGACTTTAGCTCAGGGAAGCCGGCAAGGTTTCTGGCTCGCTCGAGGTACACTGAGAGGGTGTGATGAGGTGATGATGCAGCAAGGCCCCGGGTATTGGTTGGCAAGGGCGACAATGAAGGACGCTCAGCAGGACGGCGGGGCTGGGAGCGCTGACATACCCTCTCGGTTCTGGGGTCGTGTCGTCGACAAGGTACGAAGAATCAGCGGCGAAGAGAAATGACCCTGTGAGATGAAGAGTTCAGCCGTCCTGGAAGTTGGTCAAGTTTCACCATTTGCGGACCTCTTGTCACCATCGTCGAAGTGGCTAGCATGGATCTCAGCCAGGTTAAATCTCTTTAGTGTTTCATAATCACTTCCCACCACGCTCATTCCAACCACATTTCGATACACATCGACAAGGACAAGCTTGTCATAGCCTTTCAAGTCGACCGAGTGTTTTCCGTGTCCCAGAGCGGTAATCTTGTCGGCGACTGCGCGAATAACTTCGTCTCGACCAATTTTGTTGTTGTTGCGGATTGTCGGTCGGATAGCGAACTTGCATGGTCGCTGTTTCAGCTCAACGTCGTTCTTGGAACTTGTCTC